CTGTATGCTGAGCAAATAATCCGAGAAGCTTAATTATATGAAGAAGACCATGGCATCAGGATTGGAGGGAAGACTCATTAACAATCTGCAATATGCAGATAATACAACCTTGCTTGCTGAACATGAAGAGGACTTAAAACATTTACTGATGAAGATCAAAGACCACAGCCTTCGGTATGGATTACATGTCAGTGTAGAGAAAACAAAACTCCTCACCAGTGGACCAATAAATAACAAACATCAAGATAAATGGAGAAAAGATTGAAGCTGTCAAAGACTTCATTTTGTTTGGATCCACCATGAACGTTCAAAGAAGCAGCAGTCAAGAAATCAAAGGATGTATCGCATTAGGCAAATCTGCTGCACAAGACCTCTTGAAAGTGTTCAAGAGCAAAGATGTCAGTTTGAGGATTAAGGTAGACCTGACCCAAATTATGGTATTTTCTTTTGCCTCATAATCCTGTAAAAGTCGGACAATGAATACAGAAAATTGTAGAAGAATTAAAGTATTTGAGTTATGGTGTTGGAAGAGACTATTGAAAGTCCCAAGGACTGCCAAAAGAACAAACAAATCTGTGTACAGTTAGAATGCTCCTTAGAAGCCAGGATGGCCAGACCTTGTCTCTCATACTTCTGACATAGGATCAGGAGGAGCCAGTCTCTGGTGAAGGACATCATGCTTGGTAAAGTGGAGGGTCAGCAAAAAAGAGGAACCCCCCCCCAATAAAATGGACTGACACAGTGGCATTAGTAATGGGAGAAAGCGTAGCAATGATTGTGACCTTGGCCCAGGACTGGGCAGTGTTTCGTTCTGTTGTGCATAAGGTTGCTATGAGTCGATATTGATTCAATGGTACCTAACAACTTATATTTTTATATTTGAATAAGGGGTCTCTTTTCTTTGCTAAAACAAGCCAAAAACTTTAACTCTCCTTTAGCATAGTAAATCAAGTATAGGCTGAAGGTGGGCTTACAAGCTCTCTGTAATCAAGATGCCCAATACTCAGTTTCCTGAAATATGTGTGTGTGGCCTCAGACTTCTGGCTGGTGGGTGGAACAAACAGACCCTGACCCCGTTAGTGATCTGGTTTAAGCAGCCAGACTTTCACCCCAAATGACTCTAGTAGCAGCTTTTCTACCCCCAACTGCAGCATAACATCTTACAACCCTTCCCGTCATTACCATCAACAACCACACAGTAGTCTTTTAAGAAGCTGAACTTTTACTTTCCACGTCCCTTGTTTTTTCTCAGACAGAACCAATCCCAAGGTTCCATGAGTCTAGAGCTAGTGCAGCAAACCCAACTTCTGACATCAAACTGTGAAAAACAAAAGGCGTCACTGGGTCTAGAGACTCAGGACAATGTTCTTAGGGGGCACCAAGTTCAATTGGCATAACGTGGTCTAAAAAGACAACGTTTTAAATCCTACTCTGGTGAGTAGTGAGTGGGGTCTTAAAAGGTAGTGTGTGCCCATCTACCATGGACTGTTGGTCTCTCTCTGCCCAGAGGAAAGAAGAAGGATGAAAATCAAAGACAAAAAAAAAAAAAAATGCAACAAAAGGCTTACTGCCCAGAGGTCGATGGAGCCCCCAGATGACGGCCTTCAGTCACCCTTCAGGTCTGAAACTGCTCTCACCTCTATGGCTTGCTCCACTTTCGGACAAACAATAGGTCTATCTACAAGGGGCATAAGGAGCTCTGGTAGCGTAGTGGCTACGAATCGGGCTGCGAACCACAAGGTCAGTGGTTTGAAACTACCAGCTATTCCATGGGAGAAAGATGAGGCGTTAAGATTTACAGCCTCGGAAACCCTGTACAGGGTCGTTATGAGTCAGAACCGACTCCACGGCACATAGCCACCACCACCACAAGGGGCATAATAACATGATTGAGGCATTGTTGTGAAGTGTCGAGTCAGTTCCAACCCACGGCGACCCTGTATAGGGTTTCTGAGGAGCGGGTGGTTAGCTTGAACCGCTGACCTTGTGGTTCAAAGCGATGTTGCAGTCCAGCGCGTTAACACTATACCACCACACCAGGGCGCCTCTCTCTAAACTGGAGTTGGTGAATTTGGCTCCGCTGCTCCAGGGCATGAACCTTTATTAGGGGTAACAGTATTAATAAAATAAAGTAAAGAAAAATAAAATCTAAGAATCAGAATCAATAAACTATTATAAAAGAAACATATTAGCCTAGAATAAAAATCAGCATAAATAAGTCAATTGATTACAATTAACAAATTAAAATATTCTAAAACAAAAATGATCATTTGTTGTTGTTATGTGCCATGGAGTCGGTTCCAACTCATAGCGCCCCTGTACAGGGTTTC